AGTTCCAGTAAATGCCGAAAGCGACCCTTCACAAACTTTGATAAAGTCAGGTTGTTTTAATCCGTAATCCCTGTTTTCGCAAAACTAAAATTTTTATTATTTGGTTTCTAGTACTTTATATCTATATCTAGATAAAAATAATAAAAAAGTAGATACTCTTTAATTTCATTGACAAAAGTCCGCCTGATAAAGTACTAAATAAATTTAATAAGTTAACTTTAGGAGTAAAAAAATGCTCTTGTAATATAGCTGTTCGATCTGAATTAGGCAGCTACCCTTTTGATTGCTTTATAAAAAGACAAACTCTTCTTTTTCATGATAGACTTTAAGGGAAGAAACTAGTCCCCTACTAAAAGAAACACTAAATTTGGCAAAAACTTTACATAATTCAGGCATTTATTCTTGGTACTCCTATGTTATTCATGTCAGAAATCAAAACGATTTAGAAATTGATAACCAAAATAAGGATAAAAATAAAAGGCTAATATACAAACAAAATCTGGAAAACTATGAAAATTTATATAATGATAAAATATCAAATTTACAATAGAATAGTAAACTCCAACTTTTTTAAAAAAAATTTAAAAAGCTATAACTTTGAACCATACCTACTTTCCGAAAACTTTGAACATAGACAATTAAATTGTAAATTTCGAATAAGTGACCACTGTTTATAATAGAAACTGGTAGATTCAGAGAAATTCCCAGAGATTTAAGACTATGTACACATTGTGATGTAGTAGATGATGAGTTCCATTTCTTTTTTAAACATGTTAAATGTAAAATAAATGAACAATTAAGAAAATAATTGTTAATTGAAAATAAATATAATAACTTAAACGATATAGATGAATTAAAACATATCCTCAATCCTGAAACAAAACAGGACACTTACAAATTAGGCTCCTTTTTAAAAAAGTCACTAAGACTGAGGGCAGGGAGTCATTAATTTTATTTGAATCTCTTATATATATATATATATGGATTTAAAGAAAGGGTTATAGTAGAAAGTGTCTGTATTGTTTATTTTCATTGTTTTACTGTATTATATGTATATCATGTATAATGTGTGTAAGCCATTGGCCCATATGGGCGTAAAGTGCTTTATCAATAAGGTAAAAAATATTTTGATTGGTTCAATCTTCCGGATGTCAATCAGACTTTATATTTGTTACTCAGTTATGTTTTCATATGCTGATATATGTGAATAAATTGTGTAAACATTCCAGAATAGCAGATGACCCCCTAGAATCGGCTAACAACTTGAATAGTGATCTAGCAAAAATAGATGGTCTTCAAATTGGCTAGTGACCTTTGCTTTAACCCTCAGAAAACCGAGACCATAACAATTTCACGGAAACTTCACAAACCTGATCATCCAAAACTTAACATGGATAACGTAACTGTAACCGAGGTATCCATCCATAAACACCTTGGATTACATATTTCAAACGATGGCACATAGCATAAACATATTGATGTAATAACCGAAAAGGCATACAAACGACTGAATGTTCTACGAAAATTTAAATTCATCCTTGACAGACGAACACTCGAGACAATATATATACCTAAAATATATAAGACCATTATTAGAATGTTATCTGGGACAACAACACAAATCGTTTGATTGATAAGATTTAAAAAGTACAAACAGAGGCAGCCAGGATGGTAACTGGGGGTACTAGGTTGGTGTCCTTAAAGAGATTATATCTTGAAACAGGTTGGGAAAAGCTTAAAGATCGAAGGGAGGCCCACAAATTAATTTATTTCTACAAGATGAAAAATCATATTACTCCGGATTATTTATCAAACTTAGTTCCAGAATCCCATGCAACCATACATAATTATAATACGAGAAACTCGTCACTGATCCCCCCTGTTCGAACAAGAACAGCCCTTTATTTGAATTATTATTTACCTGCAACTGTACGTTCTTGGAATCTCCTCCCCGAGAATGCTAAGAATAGTACTTATGTGGGGCTTTCAGGAATTGTGTCCATTCTCGGGTTACTAAACCTCCAAATTATTATTACATTGGTAAGCGATTAGGTCAAATTTATCACTATAAAGACTTCGAATGCAATGCAGTTCTCTAAATCAACATCTTTTTGTTAAAAATAAAGTGACCTCACCACTTTTTTTATGTGGTGCTATAGAAACAACAGCACATTACTTGTTGCACTTTCCCTAATTTCACATCATGCGTGAACAGCATTTTTATAATATCAGAATCATACACTCCTTGTCAGAAGAAATTTTCCTATGCGGTTCAACTGAACTCAGCTACGAACAAAACATTGAAATATTCTTGGCAGTTCAAACATTCATACTCAGTAGCAAATGATTTGTTATATGATTTCAAACATCTTGTTCAACAAGTCTACAGTGCATATTTCTATATCTTAAATAATTGTGTCCGTTCAGAAACATTATCCACCAAAGTTCAAATATAGTGGAAGTAAGCAAAAAATGGCAACCGTACGGCCTTCAGCAATGAGAAAAACCCATACCGTTATGGTAGGCTATAAAAGGCCCCGGCATGAAAAATATGAAACAATTCAATTGAGAAAACTGACGAAATAATTTATTTAAGGAATGACTGTAATATTTTTTCTGTCTATGAAGAAATAACATCAAAAATGTGGTGCACACTGAATAACCCGCGTAGCGGGTTATTTTAAAGTGTGCACCACATTTTTTATGTTATTTCGAATAGGCAGAAAAAATATTACAGTCATTTCTTATAATTTAATTCTAAATTCCATTTTAAACCTGAGTAAACCATGAAAAAACGTTGGTGACGTCACGGTCACATGACAAAATTATGTTTATGAGCTGATAAACAAAACAACGTCAGCCAATCAGAAGACGCGTTACATCCAAAATTAAATTATAACAAAATAAATGGGGAATGGTTGAGGCAAACTTAAGTTAGAGAACGGAAACGAAAAATTCAGCAATTTTTCCATTTGTAAAGGGGCATAACTCTGGAACGGTTAACGTGACATCACCAAAATTCGAACTTGATCTGTATTTAGTGATAATAAGCATTGTGTATAAGTTTCATAACATTTGGTTGAGGCAAACTAAAATTAAAATAAGGAAATGAAAAATTCAGCAGTTTTTTCCATTTGTAAAGGGGCATTACTCTAGAACGGTTGAAGTGACGCCACCAAAATTCAAACTTGATCTGTGTTTTGTTGTAATAAGCATTGTGTATAAGTTTCATAACATTTGGTTGAGGCAAACTTAAGTTAGAGACCGGAAACCAACTTTGGGACGTACGTACGGACGGACGTACAGTCGGACAAGGGTAAAACTTAATGCCCCTTCCACTACGGCGGGGACATAACAATAGTTTACGAAAAACAAATATGACAGACATGAACCAACGACAACCACTGAACTTCAGGTAAAAAAGAAATACTTCATCATAAACAGGAGACGAAGTTTATAAGTGTTATATATAATATCATATTTCAAAGTGAAGTACATTTTCGTTTCTTTTTCACCTCAATCAAAATTACACTTTCATGAGTTTAAAACCTTAAACATGTTAAACGAGCAACTTTGATTTTCTAGTGGTTTGTCGAACACCCAATAAGGAAGTTAATTACTTTTGACAACAGAGGTTCAGAAGTTTTTTTATACCTCTGTGGTCTTTTGGTCCAGTATTTGTCCAAGCATTACTGGTCCAGTCAGTGGTTTAGCTGTCTTTTACATTATAAGTATTAAAAAATTCTAATATCTGGTCATTTGGTCCAGTAATTGATGAAATTTTACTGGACAAACCATTTATTACTGGATATTGCCACATGCCTGACGGACCTTGGAAATGAATGTGACAATTTGACAACAAAATTTAAATTTATACATAAGGTTTAAAAGACAGTTATCAATGTAATGCAGAAAATTTGTTACAAGACACTCAAAATGCCTTTTATAGCTCAACTTGGGATACAGATATCCATGCACTGGATTACACGTGTTAGCCTTCTCTAGGGAGCCCCTCGCTTGGGATACAAATATCCATGCACTGGATTACACGTGTGAGCCTTCCCTAGGGAGCCCCACGCTTGGGATACAAATATCCATGCACTGTATTACACGTGTAAGTGCGCCCCACTCCCCCCCCCCCTAAAATTTGCAAAGCATGGGTTATCCTCAGCTTAATAAAGAATATTTCGATAATTTTACCTCAAAAAAATTTAAGTTTGCCCCCCCCCCCCCCCCCCCCCCCCCCCCGAACCTAAATTGCTGGATCCGCCCCTGCTTGGGATACAAATATCCATGCAGCTGGATTACACATGTGTCATGTGTAAGTTACACAGATAATAATATATTCAATTATCCGAACCAAGGATTTGTATACACATGTAGTAACTACTATATAAATCCTTGTCCGAACATTTTAATAAGCAATCGGATTGTTAACTGAAAATTAAAATTTTGAGTTTTAAAAGAATAATAATTTAATAGTAAATTGATGTTAAGTGACTGGGGATATTCACTCTAGATTGTAAACCCTTGTCTTTAAACTCAATGTGTCTTTCAATTTATTTTACATATAATGTTAATGGGGATGAGGGGCTTTTAGATTCGCTTTTTTGTTGCTTGTTTATTTTTTTGAGGTTTTAACTTTTTAAGGGGAGATTTTCGATTTGATTTATAGATACACCACTTAAGCCTTCCCAGATATTATAATTATTTAGACAAGATAAAAAATGCAAATATAATTTGACTTATCAACAACCCTCCCGAAAAACATACCAGTTGAAATTTCATGTTTTACGCATCATAGAAAAAACAAAAAGAAAAATTTAGTGGTGGTGGTGGTGGTGGTGGTGGGGTCTCACACACTGAGCTCATCACCACCGAACATACTTGCCTGTTTTAATCTTAAAAATTGTCGAAAAATACATGCATGAAAGTATGAAAATTCCTTATAAACTTTTAAATTTATGATCACACACAACTGTATATAAATGTCTACTCACCAGACAACATCGTTTTTTCGTAAAAATATTTGCACACAAATTTACATATTACATATAACAGGATCCATTAATGTTGATTTGACCCAAGTAATCTTTCCTTTTCCTCTTTTATTTTCGTAATCTTTATTGACATCTACTAAATCATTCATGTAAATTACATTGTGTATTTGCAGCGTGTGTAATAGTTGTGTCCTGTTTGCTGCGTGTGTGCTAAGAAGCTTAAATATAACGCACACACATTTAGCAGTATCCTCTCGTTATCATTCTGATTAACGAGTTACAAGTGTCTCAGCGTACATATTGATTGCCATGGAAACTGTTTCATTATATGCTCTAGATCGATTTTAAAATATCACCGTTTGACAGTTTCGACAACACAATATATCAAATATTGAGCCAAACATACACACGTTTCCCCCATATATTTAGGTAATATTGATTTTTGACATCATGATGCTGCAACGCGTCGGGAAGATAAGTCAGATAAAGCTCAGTGACTGACATGATCAGAGATATTTATAACGTTTTAGAGGGTTAACAGTCGTTTAAAATTGGGTACACCCATTCATTTTATAGCAGTATAATTTAGCGCTTCGGACGCATGAAATTATTAAACGTGTTGTTTTCAATTTAGTACCCATTTACTGATTGAGCATTTACCGTATCATTGTTATGATAATTCTGCCATCCAAATTAAGATGAATAAAATTTCTTGAAAAGGAATCATTTAGGGAGCTACCATTTGACTTTTATGGGGGTGGGGTAGGGGCTAGGATGAAATTTGAGAAAAAGGCAGGACTGGAGTTTTGAGTAAAAAAAAAGGCAGGATGAGCAACTTGGCAAAAAAAAAAGGTAGGATGACAATTTATGTAAAAAAAGTCAGGATAAACTAATAAAAAATAAGGCAGGACAGAGATTACAACTAAAACAAAATGCAGGACAAATTTTTTTATCCTAGCCCCCCCCCCCCCTCTTTTTTCTTCAGACACACAAATATTATACAAAGACGACAACGTGAAAACACGAAATTTGCCGCATCTGCATGGATCCGATAAGTTTATGGGAAATAAACACAATTTCATAGCCAGAAATTAGTAGTACTTTTACTAATTAATATTCATAATATGTAAATGAGAATTGTACCACGTGATAATAGTTTGAACTGGACTGGCTTGATATCATTAAAATCTTTAAAACACGGATAATATAAGTTGCCCGTCACAGAGTCCTTGTTTATAATCACTCTGATGTTTCCGTAAAGTTGTCAGGCGGTCATAATCAAAACAATGAACGCGAATTTAGTGAATTTTTCGTGTTTTCGTGAGTTTATTCTTCTTGAAATAGAGGCATTTTAACTTTACGTGGGAACCTAGAGTTCAACGACTACACATACAAGGTTTGGACTTGCTTATTCTTTGGACATTCAAGTTTCAAGTTTCACCCCGGCAACCTGTATTTCTAAAGACCTTGTTAGCCAATTTTCAACACGAAGTTTCCAAATTTGACGTTTCAGCCATTTTAGCCAGTATTTTATACTGCAATGTTAAAAGCCTCTCGCTTCGATTTTTAAAATAGCTCAGGAACCTTAATTTTTGCAACGACAGTCATTATATGTCGTTTAAATGGTGTATATTGTTGTGTATATTTATTTTCTGCCCCGGCAACCTGTCTATCACTTAAATCAAAGTTAAAACAGACATTTTTTCAAAATTCCCTATCATTTCAATATAATTTCCGTGACCCGTATCCGACTTTTTTAGTATAATATTCAAATAAGCAAAGTGGCGTTGATTTCTGGATATGATTTCCATATCAAAGTATAATAAAATGCGATGCAAAAGTATACAAGCTGACAACACAACATGTTTACAAAAACTAGAAATTTGTTTCCAGTCATACTTGTTTTTTTGTCTCGCACGACTCTGAGACCGTCAAACGTAAACTTCATATATATAGCAGGGTATCATTGTTGAAGGTCGTACATAGACTTATGAGCTAACTATTCAACAGATACCAAAGGACGTGGATGTAAGCATGCATCTATATAGGTCACCGTACGGATTTCAACAATGAGCAAACCCATACTGAATTTTAGATTATAAAAGGCCCCGACAGACAAAAAAAAAATATGCTTAAACAATTGATATCAAAACGAAAAATAAATAGTAGACAGCAACAAACGATAACCACTAAATAACAGGCGCCTGGCTTTGGACAGGCATATACAGAATGGTTTAACATGGTTACGATCGCTCAACTTTCCCCTAACCTTGCACAGTGGTGTACCAACAACATAAGAACAATCTGTAAAACCCAGATAGAAAGGGCTTCATTGACTCATCAGATCGACACGAAGCACACACACAAAAATCAACAAAAGACACAAAGTATCGATCTTAGCATACAAATTATATGCAGTTTACTGCATGAAAACTTGTCCAAAGCCAATGACAACTAATAGATAAATCATAAGGCATGTTTCCCAGACTAAAATATCAATCAGTATACATCAAACGGATTAAGTATAAGAACGCCACGAACAGTCTGAAAAAGCCATCTGAGCTATTGTCATCACTTTCTGTACGTGCGTCCGTCTGTCAGTCCGTCTGTTTTTACACATTTTCACCTCTGAAAACTTGGACCAATAATAACTCATCTCGCAAAAATTCATGATCTCTCATGCAAGCAATTTTTATTTATTTCGGATCTAATGAAACACATGGCCATGAACGACAGACGCATTTTTTAATTCTGATTGACCAATTTGCAGAAATGAATAAACCATGGAAGACTTATACATAATAATATGGTTAATATCGTATGAAAAACATGACCATATCATGATAGGTGTTCTTTGATGTTCAAAAATCTTCTTATTTCAGTCCCTGGCATCACTAGGCATCAGATCGTTATATTTCCCACGAAGGAAGCAAATCTTGTTTATATTGATGTTGAAGGGACGCAAAGGTACAATCAACACTTTTTAAAGTAAAAGAGCTAATGTATTTTTTGTTACCATAATTAAACAGTAATTTATTTGTTCTTTTTTTATTTGCTTTTGCCTCATTTTAACGATTTTGCGTTTTATTTCTTTTCGTTTCGTTGATTGCTTTTCCGATTCGTTTTGAATTCTTTGGTTGATTCCGTTTCTTTTTAGTTGTTTAGTTTCGTTTCTATTTCGTTCGCACGTTATACGCACAATTGCTCTTAACAATTAACTGAATATATATAAGAATAAATGATGTATCTTAATTATGTAAACATTGATCATATAAGATCATGATATCCTAAATTTAACAAAGGTCACTTTGACAATCGTGATACTTAATATTATAAACTATAATTGTCCGCAGAAATATTTGAAATAACATGTATATATATTGATTAAGAAAATGTTTACCTTTCTTAAAAAAAGAGGCGAAAGATGGCAAAAGGACATTCAAACGCATAAGTCGGAAATAAACTGACAACATCATGGCTAAAAAAGAAAAAGACAAACAAACATAAAAGTTAAGTAATCATTTTAACGCCTCATTTGTACCAAATGCATGTCAAATATTATGTCACAGAAGCATCTTATAAGATAAATTCAAAAAATTCAAACATGATTTTTTTTTTTTCAAACATTTATAAAAGCAGAATCTTGAAATAATAATTTGCTGTTAGCAGTCAGTTTGGTTCAATTTGTCAAACTATCTGAAGCTAAAACTAAAAACATCGCTTAGGAATTTTGGCTTGCAAGTCAAGAAAAATGGCAACGATTTAGACAAAGAAAAATCAAATATGTTTTGTTTTGTTTCAAACTTTTATGAAAGCGGAATTGTGAAATAATATTTCGCTATTAGCAGTAGTTGGGTTCAATTTTTCAGAATATTAAAAAAAAACATCGCCTTGCTAGTCAATTATTATACCCCACGCAACGAGTTGCGGAGGGTATAATGTTTTTGACCCGTCCGTCTGTCCGTCCGTCAGTCCGTCAGTCCGTCAGTCCGTCAGTCCTGTTTCTTGTCATCGTAACTCCTCTCAAACCACACAACAGAATTTCACGAAACCTTTTTAGATAATAAGGACATACTATGTAGTTGTGCATATCGACAGGAAATTGCTATTCAATTTTTTTTCTAGGAGTTACGCCCCTTTGAACTTATTTACTTTAATGTACTACTGCAACAGTTTGTCATCGCAACTCCTCTGATACCACACAACAGAATTTCATGAAACCTTTTTAGATAATAAGGACATACTATGTAGATGTGCATATCGACAGGAAATTACGGTTCAATTTTTTTTCCAGGTGTTACGCCCCTTTGAACTTATTTGCTTCAATGTACTACTGCAACAGTTTGTCATCGCAACTCCTCTGATACCACACAACAGAATTTCATGAAACCTTTTTAGATAATAAGGACATACTATGTTGATGTGCATATCGACAGGAAATTACGGTTCAATTTTTTTTCTAGGAGTTACACCCTTTGAACTTATTTGCTTCAATGTACTACTGCAACAGTTTGTCATTGCAACTCCTCTGATACCACACAACAGAATTTCATGAAACCTTTTTAGGTAATAATTAGATGTGAATATCGACAGGAAATTACGGTTCAATTTTTTTTCTAGGAGTTACGCCCCTTTGAACTTATTTGCTTCAATGTACTACTGCAACAGTTTGTCATCGCAACTCCTCTGATACCAAACAACAGAATTTCATGAAACCTTTTTAGATAATAAGGACATACTATGTAGATGTGCATATCGACAGGAAATTACGGTTCAATTTTTTTTCTAGGAGTTACACCCTTTGAACTTATTTGCTTCAATGTACTACTGCAACAGTTTGTCATCGCAACTCCTCTGATACCACACAACAGAATTTCATGAAACCTTTTTAGGTAATAAGCACATACTATGTAGATGTGAATATCGACAGGAAATTATGGTTCAATTTTGTTTCTAGGAGTTACGCTCCTTTAAACTTATTTGCTTCAATGTACTACTGCAACAGTTTGTCATCGCAACTCCTCTGATACCACACAACAGAATTTCATGAAACCTTTTTAGGTTATAAGGACATACTATGTAGATGTGCATATCGACAGGAAATTATGGTTCAATTTTTTTTCTAGGAGTTACGCCCCTTTGAACTTATTTGCTTCAATGTACTTCTGCAACAGTTTGTCATCGCAACTCCTCTGATACCACACAACAGAATTTCATGAAACCTTTTTAGGTAATAAGGACATACTATGTAGATGTGAATATTGACAGGAAATTATGATTCAATTTTTTTTTCTTATACAATTTTTTTTTTTACACATATTTTATTTCTCCAATGACAATGTGGGGACGTGGGGTATGTGAGCGCGCTCACTAAGGTTCTTTAATTCAACTTCATTTGAATACGTATTC